TATGATAATAATCGTACAACAAGAAAGTAGGTCATTAATCGTGATCAGTAGAAATTGGCTAACAAATTATTATTCAGATACGTAGGTAACGAAATACGTATAGTAAGGACAGATACTGAAATGTGAAAAACTGGGATTAACAACTAACCGAAATAAACACAAAAAACTCAAACAACAACCAGAACAAACAATTGTTTATCGATAAATTACTCAATTGAACAATTTACTTGCTTCATTGTCAAGTTTGACGTTTATTTTCATAGCCAACTTTTGAATTTTCGATGATTTTAAATAACACACCTAGAGCACGCGTTTTCAGTTATTCGAGTTTTTGATGAAAATGATGAGGTTTTTCGAGAAATTACTAGACTAAGAAAAGTTTTAGAATTGAATTGCCCACAAAGCAAAGCAGATTTTTAAAATCCATCAAGGGTTAACAAAATTCTGTTAAATATTAATAGTGCGCCACCCGGTATACCCCCTTTACAGATTTCAATTAAACTCTAGTTACTGTCAAGTAACGCCCTAAATACCTCCACAAAGTGTACCGAATTTGGTTGCTTTAAGTTCAAGAATAACGGAGATATTGATTTTTTTCAAAATTTATAACTTCACTTTCAAAGCCTATAACTCCTTGGAGAAGCAACTTGGTATAGAGGTAAGTTGCGTTAAATTGCCATATTTTGGGACCCCCCACATGCCCCTGCTCTATGTCGGTTCTTATGTGAATCACCCTGTATAGTTCCTCAAAACCCATATTTTCCATGTAAAACTCGATATTTCTGGCAAAGTAACCACATTTTACGGCACAGCGATTCATTTGCTGTTATTATCTCGAACATACTTTCGTCATGTGATAACTAGTTGAAACACATAGCAAATGGAAGGGTATAATATCCCCTTTGCGAATGTCCAAACGTGCCGCGATTCAAACTGATTAAAGGTAGTAGCAGAGCGTCAATGTTTTCGTGAATATTCCGACCTCGTCGAAAGAAAATATGCAATGGACCAGTCTGAAACTCATGTGGTGATCACACTACAAGAATTCTAATCCACATGATAAGTTTTCCACTGGTCCATTGGATATAACCTGTAGAGGGGGCGAAATATTCTCGAAAGTATTGATGCTCTGCCACAAACTTAGATCAGTTTGAATCGCGGCACGTTTGGATCATCGCAAAGGCGACATCATCCACTTTTATTTGCTTCTTGTTTTAACTCGTTATCACATGACGGAAGTATGTTGGAAATAATAGCAGCAAATTAATCGTTGTGGCGTGGATTTCGCTCAGACTGAGGGGTGGCACAGGTAAGTTTTTGAAATCTACCATTCAAAACCTATTCTCTGCAAGTTGTTCAACTACTCTTACAGATTGGGGGTATTCCCGTCCAACTGGAAAATTGCAAGAGTACAACCAGTTCCTAAAAAAGGCAAAAAGACCCTACCTAGCAGCTACAGACCCATCACACTGCTATCTATTATTTCAAAGAGAAAGCCATCAACATCGAGCTCATGAAATACCTGGAACACTCAGGTATCATCAACGATAGGCAATATGGCTTCCATCATCAGAGATCAACTGGTGACCTGCTCGCTTGCGTCCCACATATATGGCAGCAATCTATTGGAAAATATGGCGAAACCTTAGCCGTGGCACTTGATGTCTCCAAGGCATTCGATCGAGACTGGTACCACGGACTCCTCGCCAAGCTTCCATCTTATGGCTTGCCTCCCCAGCTATGTTCTCTGCTAGCTAGTTTTCTCAAACAGGTCTCTCCATGTAGTGGTCGACGGAGTTTCATCTGACTCTCTTATCATAAATGCTGGTGTTCCGGAAGGATCAATTCTAGCATCAACACTATTTCTACTCCATATCAACGATTTGTTAGAAGCAACTACATGTCCAGTGCACATCTTCGCGGATGATAGTACCCTCCATACCGCCTTCTCTTCCAGGACTCCAATACCAGCCAGGCGAATCAGAAACGAACGAGGGAGAAATGTTGACAACATAAATATGGACTTGGCAACAATTCTAGAATGGGGATCCAATAACTTGGTAGATTTCAATGCAAACAAAACACAAGCATGTCTGTTCTCTAGAAAATCTCTAGATATCACCCAACATGAGCTTGTCAGGAGTAAACATACCTTTGAAGACATCCATTTCAATGCTTGATATTACTGTCAGCAATAACCTTTCTTAAGAAAATCACGTGAGATCAATTGCTAAGAGTGCATCTCAAAAACTTGATTTTCTGTTTCGGGCCAGGAGCTATTCTACTTCCAGTCAGCTGCTTATGATCTATAAGGCACAGATTCGACCTGTCCTGGAATACTGTTCCCATATTTGAAGTGCAGCACCCAAACATACATACCCTGAAACTGTTGGATCTGGCTCTATTTTATAGACATTTTCATGGTCTTCTGAAATATCAACAATTGTTCCTTCCTTGGCAGTCCCCGCGAGATTAACCCTTCGAGTTGAGGCTTTGCACCCCTTCGTGGTCACTTTGGAGATCTGCAAAACATCTCTTTCCAAAGACTCGTTCATCCAACGAACAGCGAGGCTCTGGAACACCTTGCCAAGGGAGGTGTTCCCCGAGGCATATGACCTCCAGAAATTCAAGAAGAACACCAATTCCTATATTCCTAATTTATTTCCCTTGGTTCTCACGATGTTCTCTGAACATTACAGGATATCCCTTTTCGTGAGAACCAGAACATAAACGAAATTGGACATAAATCTTATTTCGTTATCAATTCGTGAAATCAAGTGCAAATTTCCGCACAGAAAATTGCAATTTTTCAATAATTTTGCTCAGGATAGTAATTTGCACAGGTGCCCTTTGACATATATCATTTCGTTATCAGATGACGGTCAAAATTTGCAGCGGGCTCTTGGACTATAAAGGAACTATATCACCTTTCCAAATTTCAAAATTCTTATATAAAAACAACTGATTGACGCCCTGTGTAATTATCTCGTTGTCACCTGGCATACAAATCATGAAAATATGCATCATCTTTCCTACTCAAAATCAAAAACTTCCTGTATTTGCAGAGATCAATTCTCGTCAGTTGTTGTAAAGGATTGAAGTGGCCTGAAATGTTTCTGTTGATTTCGAACTTCGCTAGGAGAAAATAGTATATTGTGCAACAAGTGGGGAAAGTTAAACTTTTGTCACGAGTGTGAAAGTTTGTGACACGAGCCTAGAGGGCGGGCGGTGCAAACACACGAGTGAGAAAAGTACTTTTTCTCACATGTTGCACACTATACTTTTTCTACAACTGCACTTATCCAAAGAATCCAAATAATATAACTTATTGGTATTAATTTCATAATGTGGCACTATGTCACATCGAATATTGTGACCAAAGAGTAGACGCCTTTCCGAGTTCCTCAAAGTATTTCAAAAAAGTACACTTTCCGAAAAAGATTTCATTTCTGTACTTTTTCAGATTCCATCATTTTTTTGTATATGCCAATTCATACATTTTTCTTGAAATTTCCGGAAACAAATCCAATGTTCGCAGCTTTTTCCGTTATATGTGTCTCTGGCGGTGTATTTGTCAAAATCGTCACATCTCGGTATATGGATCATATCATTTATTATGAATTGTTGAAATAATATTTCATGGAAACTGCGATTTATATCAAAAGCACTAATGAGAACTACCCCAAAGAATTTAAAAAACTTCTTCTGACAGTTGTGACAACTATTCAAAGCTGAACACCAGCCAATTCAGTTTTGGTATTTTTCTGTTGATTCTCCATGATGGAAATGTATGTGGTATTGGCAAAGTGCCGTGAGAAAAAATATTTCTCACAGTATGAGCAATACATGGTTTTTAAACTAAGTAAGCTATGAGAAATGCGCTACTTTTCATAGCAGTAGTAGAACAAGAAATGTATGATTCATGAAATAAAAAAGGATACTCATTGTAGAGCAGAGACGATCTTTCAGCAGCGGGATTTGGCACGCCTTTTCCTACTGGCACCTCTATCTCTTCAATTTTCTTTACTACATTCGGATCAGGTTGGGTCTTCCCCAAACCTTTGCAACTGTGTTTTCCTTTTGGCAGCTTCTCAATATATTCGGCTTGTTTTCTCTCGTACATCTAGAAAAATGACGTATCTGTAAAATGTGTGCAGAGAATCCCACATTTTTCTATTTTTTGTAGCTTGTAGACTGTTCTAAGGGGTAATACTACGAGTACATCAAGTTCAAGATTTCTGACAGAATTTTCGATGGTATTGTGCGGCGAAACTCTTTCAAATCTCAAGGTTTTTAGGTTAGGGTTCACACTGTATATATTTGCGGCAAAGGATCGAGCCGAGTCAGTCAAACCAGTTTTATATTTCCCAAACTGGCTAGGTATCTGTAAACTTACACACTATCCGCAGCTACAAAATCCGCGTCATTAAATCCGCGAGACATTAAATCCGCGACGTTCTATCCGCGAGTCATTATATCCCTGACATTATATCCGCGACATTACATCTGCGACGTATTACCCGCGATATACATTTTAAATTGAATTGTATTTGAATTCAATATCAAAATTTGTAATACAATATATACAATTAAATACAAATACCACTTTAATCAGTACAGTAAAAAAGTGCTTCTATTATCACCAACATAAGAAATAGATCGGCGAATGTGTGTACCTGTACAAATCGAGTTAAGGGGATTGTTCGATTCGATTTAAGGGGATTAGCCGCAACCGCAAGACAGACATTATGGAGGCTCCATTTTCGTGCTGTAAGACTAAGGAGTGCTCCAACGTGTGTTGCGTTCAGTGCCTTAATATTTTCCACTTTAGCTGCCTAAATCGAACTCAGCGTATGACTAAAATTGAAGGACATAAGATTATTTGCTCTCAAGAATGTGCAACACAAAAGGACATTAGCGAAGAACAATTGATTAAACTTGTAGAGAAAATTGGAGAACTGTAAAATGATATGATTCTGAAAAATGCATCTCTAGACATTATGATCACGGAAGGAGAAGATATGAAAAATGAAATTGTCAGACTTCAGAAAGAAAATCTACAGAAAGATGTTTATATACAAAGACTCAAACGAACTTCTACGAGCTTTGAAGAAGACGTGTTTTCTGCAGAACAAAATTTTGTTAAAAAATTAGATGACCAAAAACATATTATAACAGATCTAAATAAGGAAATCATAGGGCAAACTGAAATTAATAGAAACTTAGTGAAGAAGGTCGATCTATTGTCATCTGATCAAATTCTTTTACGAAAAGAGATTCACAATTTGGAATCTAGTAATCAAAAACTTAAGATATCCATTGAAAGTATCACTCAGGAAAATGAACTTTATATAACTGAACTCAGTAAACTAAGAAAGGAAAATGAACTATGCACAATACAAATTGATGTACTGAAGAATGAAACTCATGTACCGAAAACTGGAAAAGTAGACTCATTGGAAAATGAAATACTGAAGGTCGAACTGAAATCCTTAAAAGCTGAATTAACTGGAAGTAGCAGCAGGAATACTTATTTGGATAAAGAAATTTATGCCCTTCAGATGGTTAATGATAATTTTGAGAAGGAATTATCATCACTAATTGATGAGAATGCAAAACTAAACCAAGAAGTAACACGTTTGGAAAACTATGTTTCTCAACTGTCTGAAAGAAGCAAACATAATGAAATCATGGATGGAACACCTATGTCGCGAACAGAAAAACACAAGGCAATCAGAGAAGAAGTAGAATTTCCCGATACACTAAAATTCATGAAGAAAATTGAACCATATAAGAAGAAACGTAAGAAGGGACAATTATCAGAAAAGTGAATGGTTTCACCGTCGAAGATATGGCAGGAACCATGCTTTGCCTGGATTTGGACAACACTTGCAATGGTTCTAGAAATGGGGTTGCAGTGAGTGATGAAGGGGAAATACTGAAAGATGATGGAAGTGGTATTGCCGAGGATAAAGCTGATAAGGAAGCTGATAAATCAGATGGAAACAACCTGGTAGATGAAACCACACCCAAGGATTATTTGCCAGGTTGTTCTAGCTACAACATGAAGAAAATTTTTATTTATGGGGATCAATATGCCTTGGGATTTACTAAAGTCTTGAAAACAATTGAATGTGTTGGTAACTATGAAATAAATGAGTTCATTAAATCTAGTACTGAATTATCTGTGCTCACAAAAAACTGTTTTCATGAAACTATACATTTTGGCAAGGATGATATAGTAATTGTACTTTTCAATACTAGTAACATAAGTAATAATAAGTCATTAAATTTAGCTATGAAAAATATCTTAGGTTTGAGCAGATCAACAAATGTTTTATTACTGCCCGAAATCAATTCAGCTGATGATCAAATTCTGATGAAACTTATATTTCATAGAATAAAAGCCTTCAAGAGGAGTTTCAGGAATACTTCTTTATTTGTCTATCCTGACTTGAAATACGATTACTCTGAAGGGGATGTGTACAATAACTTGATCAACTTCTTTTCCGTTGTATCTTTCAATAATATAGTTCTCAAGACTATCTCACCACATAGTTCGAATTTGTTTAAAGATATTCATATTCCTAATGACACTGAAACAGTTGGTAACTTGAAACATAATATGAATGTCTCCGATAATTGGCAGGATCAAGAAAACTCTGAGAACACTATTCAAAATGATTTTTTATACCATCCTATTCATCAATTAACTCTCGTATAATATCGGAACATTGGTTGAGACCAGACCAACCTATATATATTCCTGATTATTCGGTGGCTTCTAGCTTTTGCAGAAGTAACTACAAGTGTGGTGGTACCATGATACTGATTCATAATAATCCGTTAACATCATCCTTGCAATTCACTGATATTCACATTTATGATGATATTATAGAAGAGAAACAATTCGAATTTGCATTGGTTAGTTCTAGTGAAGTCTAGTGAAGTCAGAGGCATCTTCCCAGATTTCTTGAAAACCAGCATCGTTATTCCTCTCTTTAAAGGTGGTGATCCCTCCGACCCATCAAATTTCCGCCCAATTTCACTCACTCCAACTCTCGGGAAAATTATAGAAAATTTGGTTAAAATTCGATTGTTAGACTTTTTAACCCTGCACAAAATTCTGCATCCCAATCAGTTCGGGTTTCAATCAAAGAAAAGTACAACGGATGCAATTTTCAACTTCCTCAGGGACCTTTTCTCCAAACTAAACCTAAAAGAAGCAAGCGCTGCAGTATTTTGTGATCTGTCAAAAGCGTTCGACTGTGTTAATCATGAAATACTGCTGCGCAAGCTCCAACACTACGGCTTTAGAGACCAAACTCTAAATTGGTTTAAATCGTATTTAAATCACAGATCTCAAATTGTGAAAACCGACAGTCTCTCAGGTATTGGGCACATTAAGCATGGTGTACCACAGGGTTCTATTCTTGGACCTATCCTATTCTTGCTATATTTTAACGATCTCGTAAATATCAATATTGAGGGATCTTTCACTATTTTCGCAGATGACACCACTATCTTATGGCATGATAAGGATGTAAATAATCTTCATGATAAAATGTCTAGGGATATTTCCATAGTACGAGATTGGTGTAACTCGAACTTGCTCTCATTCAATATAAAAAAATCTTTTCTATTATCTTTTCAGTGCAATATACCCGATATACCTTTAGGAAACAATTTTATCTCATCTTGCAATGCCAACAAATTTTTAGGAATTCAAGTAGACACTAAACTAAACTTCCAAAATCATGTTTTTGAACTTAGCAAAAAGTTATCTTCTAGTTGCTTTGCCTTGCGTATGGTCTCGAATGAATTGGACATGGCAACTGCCAAAATTGTTTACTATGCATTATTCGAGTCACATGCCAGGTATGGCATATCTTTCTGGGGAACATGCAACAAACAGCACTTCAACATGATTTTCACCCTTCAGAAGCGAGCTGTTCGTTATCTTTGCAAAGTTGGTCCCAGAGTATCTTGCAGAGGGTTATTCAAGAAACATAAGATCCTCACTCTCCCATCTTTGTACATTTTTGAAACAGTATGTTTGATACATAAAAATAAATCAACATATGATACCATTGTTGGATCCACCCGTCAAAATAGCAATTTGAGGCTTCCTATTCCTTCTTCAAATTTGATAAAAAACTCAATAATATATAATGCTGTTAAGCTTTATAATCATCTTCCGTCCAGTGTTAAGGACATAGGATCAGTTGATTTTTTCAGACGTTCGGTGAAGTTGATTCTTGTAGAAGAGGCATTTTATGATATTCAGGAATATCTAAATCAAACTAGTAGATAGTAGTACTTCTCGTTCTTGATGACATATGTAATGTGTCTTGTCTATATATAGTTCGTTTCAGCTTGTTAGTTTATTCATATGTATATATTTGATTTTATGTGTACCTACTTTATATTTTTATATATGTAAAAATTTTTACGACTTTGTCAATGAGATATAAATCTTCGGACAATAAAGCATATTTTGATTGATTGATTGATTGTGAACTTTTATTACTGATAAAGACAACTGAATAAACAATACAATTATCATTAACAATACATACCTAACCTCTCTGACCTCTAATCTCTCAGACAGAATAAAAGGAGCGAATCCTCGCTGCATTTTGGACGAAAATGTAGAATGTTTTTTTTTTCGAATGTCGCTACGTTTTCAAAATAAAAGGTGTTCAAATTTTGTTATCGAATCAGTTTTTTAATTTTATTTCAGACATACTTCATCACCCAATTTCGTTGAAATTTGATATCGTTATTAATAGTTATAAGTTCAGTCTCAAAGAAGTCCTGAAACATGGTTTTCCTCTTATAATTTGAATCTCAACAGAGACAAAACTCAGAAGATGCATAACGATTTCCATGATTATGCAACGAGGGATTCTGACAAGTTGAGACCACAAAGATATCGACTAGAAGTATCCGAACGTAATTCTTTGAATTTGAATTCGTTCAACAAATTACCTAAAGATGTGCGCAACCTTGACATCAAATATTTCAGAAAAGTGATCAAGGACCACTTTCTGAGATTATGTTATTATACTCTGTTGAGAAATACTTATCTTCACCAGATTCATCATTCTCTCTATGAAAACAACTGAAAAAAAAATTCGTTCATACAGCTCATACTTGCTTTTCAATTTACAATTCCAATTTTGTTTTTCTCTCCTTTTGTGAATTGGGGAAGAAAAATATGTCCTCACTAATTATTGTTTTATATGTGGTACATGTCACTGTTAAGTCTGTTTTATTGCCAGAAATGTACGTGCATGACTTTATTCTGCATACGTTTAATGTGTTTTTTCTTATCAACTACATTTAATATGTCCTTTGTACCTGACTTGCCAAAAACATAAGATTTGTAAATTGGTGAAATAAATATTCTATCCTATTCTATTCTATTCTATAAAGGCTTAATTAGCTATTGATAGGAAATTATGAGCTGATGGCACTTCACTTTCGATTCAAAACCGAAATTTGAACACCTTGTATTTTGAAGACTAAGCAACATTCGATAAAAACTATTTCACATTTTTGTCTTTAAATTAAGTGAGGAATCGCTCCTCTCATCTTGCCAGAGAAAATCACGAATTATCTATCAAGATATAGATAAGACAAGGGCAACTGTACTGTACTGCACCAGTATTAATTTGTGTGGATAGTTCAGTTAAATGTTGTTCCAGTTTGATCCCATTTATGAAGGCAACCCGATTATTTAATCCCTTATGCCATCTTTCCATATTGTTATTGGTACGGATTCGATCTTCAAAAATTGATTTGATTAACTTTGACTTGACTTGGGCAGCATCGATGGCAGAAATGTCAGCAGCATGATGATGGTCAGGTACAATACCAACAATTGTTCCTACAAATTATACAGAATTATAAATTCAAACCAAATCTTATCAATTTAAAAAAGGTACCAGTATTTTTGTCAAAAGATGTCTGTATCACAACACGACATGAATGTTTCGAAAACTGCTTACACCGCCAAGTTATTATACCACATGCATGTTCACTTTTTCGTGTATAGATATGTCCATCGTGAACTAGCATCGGATTACCCTATTTTGATCGAATGAACTCCAACGGCATTGTTGAAAAATTGGAATCTATCACGAATCAGTAAAGCAGTACGATCGAACGCAATCTGAATAACCGGTTTAAACACCGACAGATAGTTTAGTACATTTCAATCGACTACAAATAGGGGAGCAGAAGGGATAGAAAACAGAATGATGCATAGCCGTTTTGATATTGACAAGCGGATATAATTACGCGGATATAAAGCCACGGATATAATGTCGCGCGGATACAATATGTTACGGATATAATGTCGCGCGGATACAATATGTTACGGATATAATTACGCGGATATAAGGCCACGGATATAGTGTCGCGCGGATATAATGTCGCAGATTTGGTCTCGAGGATATAATAGCTATGGATCAAGTGACATGTTACCAAAATGTTGTGTTTAATAAGCAATAAACCCAACAATCATTATATTCACAGAGATATTCAACTTATATACTTATTAATGATCTGAGTCGATCCATCTTGAAGTGGAGTGAATATAATAGGACAGGAAGAAAATCTTACAGTCAACTCCAATTGGAATTGGGATATGTTTCGAAGCCTCAAAGCTTTTTCATCAGCAAAAATTATTTGTTACAGGAAGTACTTCAATAAGAAAGACAAGAAGCTACGTCAGACAAGCGTTCACATATTGAAAGTCAAACAATCCTCACCTGTTCTGGAGAAAAATATCGCACATGATGAAAAACCAAAAATGTAATTTACATAGCGGGTGACCAGTTATATTCTGACCCATTTCAAATGCTTATATCTCTGAAACCATTCAAGATATCGTTGTGCAGTTTGGACTAGTCTATTTTGATATTTTTCAAGTTTTTTTTTTACAGGTTCACTTTCTCTCTTGAACTTCCGGTTCGACCGGAAACAAACTAGCCATTATTCAGGTATAGGGCAACTTTTTTATTTCATTGAATCACCCTGTATATTTTTGCACATTCAGAAAGACTGGTCTTTTCTCTTTCTAACAATGTATAACAATTTATGTTTTCTTAGAAACAACTACTGCATGTGGAATGGTTTAATGAGATTTTGCAATGTAACCAAAGTCGCCTTTGGACATTCTGGACACAACACATGAAATGCCAGATTAGATGTGTCAAATGAAGATTGTCGAGCATTTGTACTTTCTTCGAGTTGAAAAAATGTTTACTTTAACTGAAAAAGCTAGGTGTGTGGCAATTTTTGCCGAAACCAAATCTTATCAAATTACAAGAAGAAGGTTCAGAACTATATTCAGTAAAGATCCTCCAGTGGAAAATTCAATAAAAACATGGCATGCTAACTTTTTGAACACAGGATCTATTAATCGTAAGAAAAGGACCCCCAACAATGTGAATCGGGTCAACAATGCTATAGAAATCCTGGGTCGCATACAAGAAGACCCCACCCACTAAACATGTAATGTTACAAAATATTGCCACAATATATTGTGAAGCTTTCTTCCGTAATATGAAAATACAATATTGTATCTATTTTGCTGCTATATTCGTGTTGACAATATAACAGAAAAACTTACTGACAAATTGTTTGTAAGTTACAAAATGACCCTTTCAATTAAGTTTCGATAGCAATATTGCATCAACTATATATTCTCATTGAAATTGCAACATTACATGGATCAACTACGAACAATATCAGTGCAACGTTACATATGGAATTCTCAATTGTAATGTTGCATCAACATTGATTCTTCATTGAGTT